GGGGAATGGGGTCTACTGCCAAATTATTGAGAACACATTCAGGTGGCATCACACCTCTCTTAAGTTTGGTATCACAGTTGCTGCAGATCCAAGACTGCCCTCTCCCAATATCAATCCAAACACAGGGTACTTCACAGTCATCAGTACATGTGTGTAAATATCTGTCTCTGATGCATTTATTGGCGAGTTCTTGATTCTTATATTTGTCTTTTTTACAGTGCAAGGCCTGCGATTCAAATAACAACCTCTCGCAGCAGCTACAAACAAAAACGGGTCCATTCTTAACTTTGGCCAAAAACTGCTGCATCACAATATCAAATACCTGTCTATTTTTTAGCATTTGTTGCCTCTTCAATTTGTTGCTAGCTGTTACTCGCTTCTTATAATTTGGATTACCATGATACCTTTTTGAAGTCATGGATTTTACCTTCTTTCTATGCAATTTATTTTGCCTATATTTACGTTTGTTAAATGCTATAACTTTCTCTCTATGTAAAACCTTTAGTCTATAGTTCTGTTTACTTAATGCTTGAACCCTTTCTCTATGCAGATCATCGTCATGATATTTTTTTACACTATATTCTTTTACTTTCAACGGATTACTTTTATATATTCTTTTACTTGAATCCTTCCTCATCTGATTATGCAATGGGTCTTCATAGTATCTAACCTGAGTGTGTCCAATTGCTCTGTGTTTGTAATCTTCATCCTCGAAATACCTTTTTCTAAGACCGACTCTTACTATCTCTTGATAATCTGCATCACTATACTTTTTCATGGACGCATCCCTAATCCTTTGCTGGTACCCTGTGTTTCTTTTATAATACAGTTTCTTTTTTGAGCTGTATCTCTGTTTTAAAAATGTTGAACGCCTACGACTCCAGCTGTTTGCAACACTCTCTGCATTGTCTTTAACCCCACCCTTCCCAGTACAGATATCGACACTGCGACGCATAGACCGTGTCTCTGACAAACCCCCCACTTTACAAAATTCAAAGCACCTTTGTTCATCGTAAGGTTTGATACAAACCACTGGCTCAAAATGATTTTTATCACAATGTTTCAAGTATATTTTTTCTTTTGAAAGCATTGCACAATTACAAGTGTATTTGAGCCATTTTTCCCCACTGCAGATAAAAATGTCCACTCCAAGAGCATTTGCTGTCCCTTGGATTTCTACATCTGTGGCACAATGTCCTACATACTTCATCCGAGACTTCTCAATGTAGTCTGAAATTGAAGCAGATCCCCCAACTACTTTAGTTTGTTCTGCGTGATTCATCATATGCTTCACAACAGTCGTTCTAATCTTTCGATGGCTCTTCTGAGAACCACTGAGAACATGAGCTACCGCTCCGAAGAAACTATTAGCGTCCTCTTTAATTTTTTCGGTCTTACAGACCACACCTAGGGACCCAGTTACTGTAGGTCCCTGTACATCCTGCTTTTCAAAGTCTATATTACACTTTGTGCAAAGTGTTTTTGCCACTTCATTGCACAAAGGATTAAATTCAAGAGTGATTTTACTTACATCACTCTTTTCCACACAATCTGTGTCCCCAGCAGACGATGTACCATGCGTTTGTTCGGTAACCCTCCTTTTGCCTCTAGTTGTCCGTCTGACATTGTACAGTCTTGGACAAGAAGTGTCCACTTTGCAATACCCATAACAACTCTGCAAATTAGGTTGTTTTACACACACAACAGTCTCATAATGATTACCATTGCGGTTTTCCAAATAAACCCCCTGATTAGACATCTGCCCGTTCTCGCAACTATATTTTAGCCAGCGTGGATCACAATATGTGAATATATTAACTCCAAACGCATCTGCTGCTGCTTGAATTTCTAATTCTGTTGCCCAACTACCAACCTCCCGCATTTTGGATGTGCTGAGGTATTCTGACATGGAGGAGGTCAAAATACGCTCATAAGGCACAGCATTGCTCTGCATTTGATGAACCACTGCACGCCTAATTATTGTGTGATGCCTTTGTGTACCACACACAGCTTGACTCACTGCTCTAAAGAAACAATTTCCGTCACCCTCTATTTTTTCATTGAGACATGGAGCCCCTATTAAACCAATTTGTGTAGACACAAAATCTACTTTCTCTGACGGCACATGTAACTGCTCACAAAGAGCTTGTGCAAGTTGATGACTAAGAGGATTAAACTGCAGTCGTCCACTTCTTACTTCTTTGACAAAAGCAACGTCTGAATTATCTGCGGTAACATCACTCTTTTTTAATTTTTTGCAAGCAGAAGATCCCTTACGAATCTTACGCTTTGCACCCATCTGAATGTTGGTGCAGCCAAGTGTGGACTGAATAGTTGAACTACAACCCAAATCAGTCTCTGTCGTTTTGGGAGTCACTCTTGGACCCAAAGACAGATTACTGCTTTCAATTGGGCCTATTTGAGTGACTCGGACACCAGCGACCTCAAACTGTTTTTGAGACTCAGAAGATCCCTTTGGAATGTTATGCTTTGCACCCATCTGAATGTTGGTGGACTGAATAGCTGAACTACAACCCAAATCAGTCTCTGTCGTTTTGGGAGTCACTCTTGGACCCAAAGACAGATTACTGCTTTCAATTGGGCCTATGTGAGTGACTCGGACACCAGCGATCTCAAACTGTTTTTGAGACTTCTTGAGGAACGCTGCAAATGTCCATATGTATTCAAACACGTGTTCAAGGCCTCTGAAATACAGAACAACACTACGCCCCTCGCCATCGCTCATCCCAGACGCACTGCGTGCATGGGAGTCGACCACTGCGTAGTGTCCACCTTGACCAATGATGGCACATGTAGCGCCATTCATTGTCAGAAAGCATGTGTCATATTTACTACACATGCTTTCCAGTGCGTATTTTAAAGTGGTGTGCACACCCTTATCAATGAGATCACCCTCAACCACATCCACATCTCCAGACACAAAGTCACTGTATTGAAACAGAAATCTTTGTCCGTCGATAATGGTCTCCTTGGGCAGATCTGGAACCGAAAGTAGACTGTATCCTCCACTGATACCTTGTTGGTCACGCAGGGAGGTGTACAGATTGTCACCAAGTACAACAACTTTATCCAGGTTGTCGGTCTGCCATGTAAACACGCTGTCAATGTTGTGTTTGGCTATGCCTACCAAACTGACAGCCATGCACTGAAGTCCTGCATATTTAAAGCGTTGATCACCCTGACTGAATGTTCCCCTGACACACCCCATATCCCCATCAATGACTCTAGCCGTCTCCGAATTAACTTCAGCTGCTTTCACAGAAAGTCTTGTAATGCTAAACTTCTGTGCATTCAATGAATTATTGAGATTCCTGATGTAAAACATCAGGTCATTAAGGCATGTGTTGAACACGGCTACAGATGTGCCATAACTGGATGCTAACCCAGACGCAGCACGTGTGCCACAATCAACGACCACAATACAGTCATTGTGTTGAATAATGACACTGGCTGCGGAATTTAGGCTAAACAGACACATGCCATCCCTGGATAAGTGTTCAAGCAGCTTCTCCGACAATACCTGTTCCCCTTCAGACAAATTAAATTCGCCGTACACTGGCAGACCCATATTGACGTTCCACTTACGTCCAAACACACTGGTCTGCTCAACCAACCTGCACAAGTTCTTTGGCTTTACATTCATTTTATGGGCTTCCCCTAATACAAACGAGTTAAGCTTTGACCCTGCAACACGTATGGCATCGATATCTGTACTGCTCCACGAACACACAGGCGCAATCAAATGTTTGATCGCAGCCGCTATAGAACATGCAACAGATATTTTATCGTCAGAAACGGATGCATACCTCACAACAGTCCCTGCGACAACAGCCAGCTGCACTTTTTCTGAACACATGCAAGCATAGCCCTTACCTGTTCTGCATCCGTTGTCCTCATCAACATCCACTATCACGCTGGGTGATGGCTCCTTGCTGGATGATGGCTCCTTGCTGGATGATGGCTCCTTGCTGGATGATGGCTCCTTGCTGGATGATGGCTCCACGCTCAGTGATGGCTCTGCGCGGGGCAATGGCTCCACTCCTGGAAATGGCTCCACTCCTGGAAATGGCTCCACTCCTGGAAATGGCTCCACCCCTGGAAATGGCTCCACTCCTGGCAATGGCTCCAACCCCGGCAATGGCTCCTCCTAGAAGAAAATTCATATATAAAAAAACTGCTAAAAACACTATGTGTCTTAAATTGTTTCACAAACGTTTAACTAAATAATAGAAAGATATACAATTACTAATACAAAATGATTATTGTTATATATTAACTTTTGTTTTTCTACTTACCCACACACATACTGAATGGAACTCAAAAGAGAGGTTTCTTGTCATTGATTGTGTACACTTGAAACAACGTTGACTGCATGCAGGCTAACAACTGAAACTATTTTATTTTAACAATGAGCAAAAGTAACTATGTCAATAAATTAGCATGATTCATTCAAATGTCACTCTGAAAGCACATCGTTCACACAAAGACCACAGACCTGCTGCTCCACAGCAACTGTCCCTCTACTGGTAGGTGGCCGTAAAATCACCTCCACAACAATGGGAGCTGCCTCCCCCTAAAAAAAACAAAACAATTTAGTAAACTTGAGAATAAATAACACCACCGATATTCGTGTAACTTCTTAGTTTTAAACAAGTCCTATATTGCCTTTAAAAAAGAAGAAAACAAGAACAACCTGTCGCTTTGCCAGGGTTTTCTTGGAGGCAGGAGCCCTCTGCTTCAGGTCCAACTTTGCTTTCTAACGTAAGGAAAACAAAATGATTAATCCTCCACTAATAACTCCTTATGGACAGTATAAGTTGTCCTCACTGTAATACATTTAAAGTTTGTCAGGAAGGATACATTTTATAATAGGGCATCAACCAACATACAAACAAATTACCTTTTGTGGTGTTGGAACCGGTGGTGTGCACTCATCAGGGCCAGGAAGATGGGATGGACTAATCTTGTCCATCTCAACCAACATTGCACTGCTAAACCACACAGGTGTCAGTGGAAGATAACTCTCCTCCACTTCCTGTGAAATAAAAATGAAGAAACACTGTTTTAGAAAAAGAAATGCACATATAAACTGCAATAAACATACCCCAATGATTTCAAAGCATACTACAAAGTTGACCTACCTCCTGCTGAACAGTCCCTGCTTCTTTAAGTGCATCAATGGACTGCTCAGGTTCATCGTGTTGGCTCCTCTGTAAAGATAAATAGCATAGCTTGTGTTAATCAAATGGGTACTCTTCCATCATTATCAAGGCAAACTGCTCAGGGAATATCACTCTTATTGAAAGATGTCTGCCACACAATTACCTTCCTGCCCTGGCCGAAAACGGTCCACTTGGAAGGATCCAGTTGCGGTGATTTGGCAACCTCTCCTTTGACAATCACCCTTGGAGTGACTCTCCTCGCAGGCGGTGATCTTCTGTGGACAACAGGAGATGGCTTCGGCTCGGCTGGAACAAGTTGCATGTATGTTGCGTTCCAGATAGAACCGACCAGGATTGGCATTCCCGCACTGTCACTCAAGTGCACCTGCAAAAACAAATACATTTACAAATAGCACATAACCTTCAATATGTTTTTTCAAGAACGGAACTTGGAATTTCAGCTACAAACAAGTATACAGAGAAAACGTTTCCATTTGCCATGTCACTCACGCCATCTCTGCTCCACAGGTCAAGTTCTTTGAAAGGGAAGTACTCAGCAAGCGGTGTGTACTTCACGCCTAAAAAAAACCAACAAGATCAAGATTACTAACATATCCACACAGATATTATATTTTGCTCTTTTAAAACAAAGAATAATGAAAAATAGGAAAATGATTTACGGTAGTACTTGAACCTAAATATTTGTTAAACATACCCATACGTGCCGCAACACGACGAAATTCCTGACGCATCATGTCTTGGTAGTCAGGGTCAACGGTAAGGCGCGGGGGGAAGTCCATGGCAAAAACCTAATCAAAGTTACAAAGGTACGCTATTTTTCACAATTTGTTGATAAAAAAATGTCAATTTTTCAGAAATTCATAAACATACAACCACATCAATAAGAATACAAAATGTAATATTATAAGAACTATAATAAATACAATAAAAAATAAGCTTACGTTGGGCCAGCGACTGCGGGCAGTGGCGAGGAGCTCCGCAAAGTCCTCTCCTGCTTCGGTGATGGTCCTACTGGATGTTAGGTTGTTGCTCGGAGCCATCACACAGACTGCATCTGGTGTCCTAGGCAGCACAGCATTGGCTGCCTCGGTTCGCAGCTGGGTTGCGCATGCCCCCGGTGTGGACATGGCACCAAAGGAAAACCTTCCCTCTGGCATCTTCACAATTCCATCGACGATGGAACGGAGATGTGAAGCTCCAACAAGGAGGACAAACTGTAACAACAGAAGACATTATTTCAAATGAAAATCACTAATGATTACCCAGACTTTGTTAACAAAATCTGAAAACAATTCATACTTCCTTGTCTGGAGACTCCGCTGGTATGACCATCTTGTGTTGTCGTCCTGTCAGGGACGAAATTGGCCATTTCTGCACTCTATGGCGGTTACCCGTACCGCCAGCGGCTATTTAAAAACAGAGAAAATGACACCGACATTAAACTTAATGAACCTTTACAATTCTTAAATTATGTAAGCAATAATAACACACCTTCCTACAATAACACCTGTAAACGGGCACGTGCAGAGGATTTTAGAAGGGAAAGGGCTCAAATGCATAAAGGGTCCTACCGGTGATTGAATTTTAAAATGTATATATTTCAAACAAATCCATGTTTCAAACACTGCTTCATGATAGTTATCTAAAAATGAATGCAAAGAAATCAAGTGTATTTCAGTCAATTCTCCTCATCATAACTAGCTCGCTTGCCCACAGAGGGGTGTATCTGTGCACGAGCCTGCCTGTAAAAAATGCACATGCAAAAACATTTTACAATGATACAACCAAAATGGACACCCTAAACATATACAAAATTGAATGACAAAATCCTCGACTACTTACGTGCGAAACTGGCATTGCCAGGCTGCTGATGTCCCACACGTGTCCCAGCCACGCGTAGCTTTGCAGCCTGGGAACGGCGGGACGATTTACCACGTGGCATCTGAAAGTATGTAGGCATTGTTAGAATTAATAAAGACATTAGCAGACCCCTTAAATAGTACAAATAATTACGCAATTACTTATTTCAACTGCAACAAAAGCGTACAAGTCCATTAATAGTTGATGCATCCTGTTCAACAAAAATGTACTTACTGTAACTGCTCACGAGATAAAGCTGGGTGTTGAAGGTAGATGAGTAGCCGGTGAAGTTAAATGGGTAGCTAGTGAAGAAGGTAGATGAGAAGGTGGTGAAGGTAGATAGGTAGCTAGTGAAGAAGGTAGATGAGAAGGTGGTGAAGGTAGATAGGTAGCTAGTGAAGAAGGTAGATGAGTAGGTAGATGGGTAGCTGGTCAAGCCGGTAGGTTGTTTAACTAGAACAGAGAAGAAACTAATCAGCATCACAGACATGGAAATATAATTACTTAACACAATGTACAATACAATCGCATAGCTTAGCATACAATAGTTATAAACAAAAAAATTATCAATTGTATTAGAAGCTGCTAATCACTTAGATTTACACTAATAAAGGGCCTATCTGTTTTCATTATACTTTATGCTACTGACAGTGTCTTGGACCACAACTCACCGGTAGAGAACTGCTCAAAGCTGTCAATCTGTGGGGAAAACACAGCATTAAACCCTGCAAAGAAAAGACTGGAAAGTTCCACATATTGTCATGGTATATGTTACTACAAACACTGTCTTTGACCAACACTCACCAGTAATGAACTGCTCAATAGTCGTCACTCTGTGAAAATAAAATAAAAATTAAACCTTGCAAACACAATGCTTGCACACATGGTGATTAAACATTTGGTCCATGTTGTAAATGCTTAAATGCTCTTGCATTTATAAAAACAGGATAATACAATTACCATAATATCATTCTGTGAAAATATGAATTCTGCATAAAGAGTACTTTTACTTTTGATATTTGGAGTACATTTAGCTAACAATTGTGCTAATGAGTACTTGTACTAAAGTAGAGGATCTGATTACTTCTTCCAACGTTGAATATAGTATACCTTGAAATATATTTAATTGTTCATAGTTGAATGACTCAAAAAATTACTTTATTTAAGCTATGGAATCATTTAACCAGCTTTCCTTTGTTCATAAATGACAAAAATAAGCTCTTTATTTTAGACATTCTGCTTTAACCAGCTTCACAATTAATTCACAAGAGGAATGATCACTCACCCCAGACAAGATAAGATGAACGAGAGGACAGTCTCTGGTTTAACCAAACTATATATCGAATTTTAAAAAATGAGCGACCAACCACAGCTCTCCTTCTTTAAAATATTTTTGTAATTTCCCTCCAATCGAAATATATAATATTAACATTTGAATGTCAACTGCTTGCTATGCAGACATGTTATGAAAATATCACACATCAAAGGGTCAGGTGCAGAGGTCCCTGAAACAAAGAATGGATTATGGCTGTTGTAGTCTTTACCACCATTGCCATATTTGTAGTCAATTCAATCATAGTTACTTCAGTGTTCAATAGTTTTTTGATTAAAAATATAACTGAGCTATAGTGTGTCTGTGTGTGTCTTAACTGTCATCCATGTCAGCCAGGGGCGCACATAACTGGTACGCATGCGCGGCAACAATCTGAAATGCTTACCGTAACTTGTGTCACAAAGCAGAGTCGGTCTCTAAAACAGCTGATCACAACGTTCACACGCTCCGCGGTCACGAAGCACTGCACCCCTCCCCCCCCCCCCACTACTCAAGTACAATATCTGAGTACTTTTAATCAAGTACAAGATCGGAGTGCTTCTACTTTTACTCAAGTACAAGATCTGAGTACTTCTACTTTTACTCAAGTACAAGATCTATAGCCTACTTATACCACCTCCGTTTATAGCCTATGAAAAAAACTATTAGAAAACGAAGGCTAAAGCTAACGTTAGCAGATAGTGACAATGTATGCTAGTTAGCTAGCTCGACAACGATAATATTGCGACAGAAACACTTTTCAGTGCACATCACGGCAGCAGAGCCTTATTATACATCGATCAGCAGAGCCGACAGGCAGGGAGCACACAGATTGTGCTGCATTATAATATATATATACACCATACGTGTCATGATGGGACATAACAGCTCCCGCCCGCCGGGATTACTCCGGGTCCCAGACCCCCCCATACCCCAAAAATATTTTTATTGCAGATCTACATGAAACTTTTGATACTTTAGCAAAATATATTTAGCAAAGAAATGTGCTAATGAGTATTTGTTCTAAAGTAAAGGATCAGATTACTTCTTCCAACCTTGAATAAATAAAGTATGCCTTGAAATATATTTAATTGTTCATAGTTGAATGACTTCAAACATTACTTTATTTAACCTGCTTGTTAATAAATGACATAAATGTGCCCTTATTTTAGAAACAAATCTTAACCAGCTTCACAATGAATTTATAAGAACAGTCACACACTCACCTCAGACAAGATGCAAGAGAGAACCAGTAAAAGTTGAACGTCAATACATATATCAAATGAGCAACCAATCAGAGTTCTCCTTCTTAAAATATGTATTTTCTCCCCTCCAATCAGAATAGTTAATATTTACATTTGAATGTCAACTGCTTGCTATGCAGTGCGCGCATGCGCATTGCTTTCGTCTACGGGGTTTCTGCAGGGTCCCGGCTGTCACTGTCTCTGAGCGGGCGAGCTGCGCTGAGTGAATTTGTCAGACACATCGCTGTGACGTTGGGGATTCTTGGGACATTTGTCTACCTCGTTTGCCTAATCAGGTAAGTGTGTGTTTTACCTAACAAGGAATGTTAACAGTAAAGTGCACTGTACTATTTAAACCAAAAGATAGATACTACCCACCACAGTTAGGTTTGCTAGCTTAGCTACAGATGGCGTTGAATTTATGTTCAAGCACCTGAAGGCGTCTATAATGCATTTAAATGGTGAGATGACCGGTGTTAAAGTAAACCGAGCCAGACATATAACGCTATAACTTTACACACAGCATTGATTGGGATATGACAACGTTGCCACTGTGTTGAAACTTAGCCTTGACTGGCGGAAATGTATGTGTTATACATTTTCGCTGTGAGCCGTGTTCATACGTTTTATACAGAACTTGTGTGTATGTGTGACGATACACGGAACGGGGGGGGGGGGGCGGCATTGTTGTTCCGCCGTTACACCGGTTATTAACGTCTGTTTATTGGGGTAGCCGGCAGCCGGTGACTCTGACATTGTTGTGTTACAGGTCTTGTTGTTTAGTTGAGGGTAAAACACATCTCAAACTTCGTGACTTTTCCTAAAACGGGTATATTAATCATCGAGTGAATTTTGGGGCTTGGGGAATTAAGAGAGAGAGAAAAAATATATACTTTGCCGCAACACTTGCCGTGTTTAGGTCACACAGCTCAGTGCTCACCTAAAGCTCAGCCGCTGACGGACCGATGAGCGGAGCAAAACACACGTTTCAAGTTAGACCAAACACACTTAGCTATTTTATCTACCTCTGGAACTAGCTAAACTAGTTATACATTTTATGCACAATACACTTTGTGTAAGATTTAATTTTGAGCCCAGAGATGCCGTGCTGTTGATTTGCAATTATAACTTCCACAAGCTGAATGGTAAGACTCAGTAGATTGGTGCTAAAGTTAGAATCAGTGGATATGTATTTTGTTGTTTAGTTTTCCATAGCACTCATTCATGCATATTTTACTTTTCCTCAGGACACTGACCATGAAGAACGATTGCTCAGAGGTGTGTCTGTGGCCATCCTCACCGTCATTGAAGATGATGATGCCGCCATATCGCCAAATGTGCGAGACGTGGCTGTTGTGTTGGAAGGGACCATTGTACTGCATGACCTACCAGACCTCTCTACTGCCTTTGCATACCTCTTTGGCCTACTTTATGCAATGAACATGGATTTTCCAAAGGAGATGAGGTATACCTTTGAAGCCATTCAGACTATCTTTTAAGAGCTTGGCTCTCGACGCTCGCAGTGCATAAGCTCTCGGAAAACAAAGCTTTTGCTGTGAATGTTAATGGGGAAGCCAGACATGACTTTAACCTATGTTTCGCCTGTTCTAGTGCATTGTGGTTAGTGCTCATGTAAAACCTCACAGCATTCATTTCATTTGAAGCATATAAGTTCCCTTCTGAAATAGAGAATCAAAGAATGTGTGGATGTGTAAGTTGCCAGTTCAAAAGAGGGGCATATCCAGTATTTCTACTGTTCAAGTTCATTGTTAGTGATCAGGTAAAACTTCAATGTATGTACTTGCACATGCAGTCATTTTAAGCATGAAGTCCCATTTGCCTGTGAAATTGAAATGTGTGGAATTGTGAGTTGCCAGTTGACAAGAGGCACTGGATTGTAATTGTTATATTTGTTTATTCTTCAATTCTTTGATTGTGATGTGCTGAAGAGGCTGAGGCCTGATATATCACAATGATGCCAGGTGTGTGAATCCTATTTTGACCTGATGGATAAAAGCAGAAGCAGAAACCATCCTCAGAATCTGTGTTCAAAGGCCATCGTCATTTTCTGTTTAAAGCAGCTTTGCTAGATGTTTATTATGTCAAGAAATGTCCTTAACTTGTGTTATGTTGCAAAACGTGCATTTTTTCAAATCCATATATTCAGCATGTGAAGAATGCATGTTATCAACGTCTAGCAAAGCTGCTTTAAACAGAACATGATGATGGCATGGGGTCTGCGAGACAGCGAGACACAGAGGAACTCAGCCTGAGCACACACACACACAGCTGGGCTGGGCGAGTCGGCTGACAGCTTCCATACAGCGCTGCATAGACAGGTATTTTCTGTGTTAGAGTTTTACTCGCTACAGGGTGTACTTTGAGGGTTTGTGACTCTGCAGACCGTTTACATGCAGAAAAACCTACATAACACACAAGGGGATGGGTAATAACCAGAAAAGCATATGATAAGACCTTTAAAAGAGAGAATGTTTTGTGTGCTAAAGTAGACAAAAAATGTACAAAATGTTCATATAATTGAATTAAATCGTAATAATCAACTGAATAAATAATGGCTCTTTTTTTGTTAGTTCATTTTCAATCTCTGACATCAATGTTGATTGAAATCTTCAGCGTGACAATATCTCAATGTTGATTCAATTACTTTTTGCTATCTGGGGTGTCTGTGTGTGTCTTAACTGTCAGCCATGTTGTTGTCATCTAACCAATGAAAGCAAATAAATATATATATATATATATATATATATATATATATATAGAAATATACAGGGTTCCCGCGGGGTCTTAAAAAGTCTTACATTTTATAATCTGAATTTAAGGCCTTAAAAAGGTCTTAAATATGACCAAAAAAATAAGAAAGGTCTTAAATATGATTTAGAAGGTCTTAAAAATGATCGGATTTGAAAGGTCTTTCTGTGTTGCGATAGCGTCTAAATGTGTTTTGGGGGAAATGTCCGGGCTGCAAAGTAACCAGTACGGTAAGAGCCTTTCAGTTCCCCCCAACAATTTGTATTGAAATAAATCAACATGGAACCAGTAATCACTAACTTTGTTTCCCCCGGCCCCTTATTGGAGAACACCCAGCTAGTAACCTAGCAAGCAAGCTTCAGCTAGCGACAGTCAGAAACTCATGTATCTTCAAATCTACTTACAAATAAATATGGGGAAGTGTAAGTTCAACCGTATTTGGTTGGAAAACATCGAATTTAGTGCTTGGTTGAAACCAGTGGAGGGGAACGTGTTTGAAGCCCGCTGCAC